TTAAGTCCAAGGCTTTCTTGTCCATTTTTAAACTGGCTGCCTCCCACTGTGGCAGATACAAATACATATGGGAGAAAGAACAGAACAGATCTATCTAGTAGGAGGACAGAATACATATTACTGTACTAAATGCAAACCTTAAGCAAAGTTTTGTTTTTTTTTCACATAAAACATAGACACATGTATGTATTTTATGCCTTTTTTTTTTTTTTTTTGTGCATTTTATTAAGCATTACACATAAAATCAGGTCAAGTGATGGCACATAGGATAAAGGGAAATCAGAAGTAATGCTGACAGTTATTTAAACCTACACATTACACATACACTATATTATCTTTACAGCTAATTTTAGCTTTAGTATTTTTCTGTGTTTCAGCTCTGGGTCTTTTAAATATACAAATATGAAGTGAATTATTTGTAAGAGGCAACAGGATGCAGTAGAGCCATGGCTTTCGTGTCAGTCAATCAAGAGGATCATGGTTACACAAAGAAACATTTTGCTTGCTTTTTTTTTTTAATTTCTCTAATTCTTCATCCCTCCCTTGTCTGTATTCTTACTGTTAACATCCATAACAGTTATTTTGCTTCTTTTTTTATAATGACAACTGTTTTTGTGGAACACATTTTCCTAAGTGAGTTAGTGATGATCATTCATTGCTATCAGCTTCTGTTGACCTTTGCATTCAATAGGAACAAGCTATGTTTACAACAAAAGAGCTAAACAACATGGTGGGATATCATCTAGAAAGCTTCTGAATTGCAAGAGTGTGTAAATTATGCAAAAGTAGGTCTTGCCTGAGGGGTGAGAGACAAGAAGCCTGCAAGTTGTGACTGAAGTGAGAAACAGAGCGGTTTTTAAAATGCTAGGAAATTCCAAAGACAAAAACACAGTGATGCTGGAAATAACAGAGTCCCGCTCATCTGAAATAAACGTCTGTGAATGTCCAGCAGATCTGTAGACAAGAGTTGGCTCTGTCTGGTTGAATGTTTAATGTCACATGATTATTTTTTTAAAATACTTCCACTAAGTTTTCCAAGATTTTCACGTACCTATCCAAAGTAAAAACAGTGACTGCGAAACGATGGACCTTCAAAACATTTCGGAAGTTTTCAGCACCTTGCCAAGAAAACAGAAAACTAATGGAGAAGTGAAAAAGCTCGGACAGATAACCTTTCTTTCAAAAGTGTTGGCCTGTTTGCTGTTCTGCAGTTTCCACGAACCAGAGTGTGCCCAGCTGCAAGCAATTGGACAAACTGCTTAGCATTCACCTGCAAGCTAATTATTATTTGCTTGCGGTTTCAGCTAGGAATTCTAGATCTTTGACCATGACTGCAGTGTGGTAGAAAATATATAAAGAAGCAACAAAAAGTTGATTACTCTCCTCCTGGGAAAACTAAATAGTTAACTTACTAATCTACTGCTATTCCATTTGCTTTATGATTATGTATCCAGTATTTAGAAAACTGGTTTAACAGAGATAGAAGCTGGTTTTCTGTGAGTTCACTCTTGTAAATCTTAATGATTTATTCATTTTGTTTTCTGTGTCACTGTGCCATTTTTGCAGCATATTTACCATGAAGCAGAAGTTCAGACGAACGCTGCAGCCTGCTGCAGGGGAAAACGAGAACAAGGGAAAGGAAAAATGAAAAGAAATATCTTAAATACATACAGAGGTGAAAGCCTGAGTAACTGGTATCCTGATGCAAGTGTACAGACAATCTAACTAAACGTATGCCATCTCAGCTCTGTGAAAATGAGACTCTTGCAGTCTCTCATGCACAGGGTAGATTACTCATTAATAAAAACTGGTACAAAAATTATACTAAAAACAAACAAACAAGAACAACGCAGAATGAAGACCATGGTAATTAATGAGAAAATATTCATTATGTAGACTTTCAGTGTACATTTTTTAGAAGACTGCATTCTTAGAAATAATTGGATTTAGTTTTATCCACTTAGAACTAGTTTATTGCCAAGACCCTGCAAAGGAAATTCTGAGCAGTTCTAGATTGGCTGTCCTTATGGCATAATGGTCTTCTGTTTGTTATCAGTTGGCATGTATTTGTACAGAAGACCACTAACACTTTTCAGGGCTATTAACATCACTTAAGTTTAAATAATGTAAAGTAAGCTCGTTTCTCAGTCCAAGGGAAAATATGCAGGAGTTCCAAAAGAATACTAATAGCAAGAACTTAGGTTAGCGTTTCAAATTGCCTACTGGAATGTTCTCTATTAATCATCTGGTAAACCGAGGGAAGCTATTCTTTTAATTTAGGCATTTGAGTTAATTGCCAAACGGGAAGAATTATAAACATGCCCATTTTCCTTCTCTTTGAATACTTCCCTCAGGATCTCATTTGATCTTGTGGGTAATGTACCATTGTAAAAGTAGCAGGATTAAGCCTTTAGGAAAAAAAGCAAGATTGCATAGAAAAAGAATAAGAAAAATAACTTTGAAATGGATCTGGAAAATGATTTTGCCATTATTCTATGTCTGCATTTCAAATGTTTTGTTATGCCTACGTAATCAGAATATTTGGTTGCATTTTCTATAAAGGCACTGATTTTTTTTTTTCATCTACCCTCTCTGAAATGAGACTTTGGACTACTTTTCAGAATATAACAAAAAATGTTTTTCCTTGTCAAATAATCATCTAGTTAGAAGTCAGTGAGCATAGCTGCTCCATAAAATATTCTACATTAAAGATACCAGTTTATATCTTTTTAATTCAAGTGACCAAAAACTTTAAAATTGCTTACTTGTTTCATGATTCAGAAGTAAAGTTCTTGTTTAGTTCTTGGCACTTACAAGATTCAGAAATAACTAAGACTTTCCTCAGATTTCTTCCAGTCCGTTTCTTCAGTATTTCCTGTAGGTATTCAAGTTTCTAATTTTCTCCATAAAACTGTATTTTCATTAATAGATGTGACAGAAAAGGAAGGCTTAAAGTAACCGTAGATGGCAAGCACAGATTTTTAACAAGGCCTTCAAAACAAGCTCCAATAAACTGTGGAGTATTCAGCTCTTTATCTTCTGACTGTTCCTGGATGATGTGCTTTATGAGAATAACAGCTATTAAAAAAAAACATCAATTAGGCTTTCCAGAGCCTCAATTAGGGTGTTTGATTCTTCAAACACAGGAATCAGGGGTAAACACAGAAGCAAATGCTTTACTAAAAGACAGCCCAAATAATCTGTAGGGCTACTCCGTCTCTACAGATCTTGATATTTTAAAGTCATCAAAGCAAATGATGAGAGCGGTCATAACGGGATGCTGAAAACTACAGTTTGCAATAAGTGGTCTGCTGTTTTCTTTTAAATTGGCAAAATACAGACATAATTGAAGTGCATGTACATTTACGTTTGAGTCTTACCCACGTTACCGTTCCACCGCTTTCACTTCATGTTTGCAAGTGATACGACTGGTGGAATTCATAACCCCTAGGTCACCAAAAACCAAGAATACTTTGTCTAGGCTAACAGAGCAAGACTCTGGGATAGGAAATACTACATTCTTTTTCCAAAAATTAAGCATGAAAAACCATACCAAACTTCAGCTAACCAACTAACTAACTAACTAACCCTTCATCTACAAGTTAGCTAAAAAGTAAACCGGCTTAGAAGAATCTTAGCTAGCATAATGTCAGGTGGTGCTCCAAATTCCTTCACAAGAGATGAGTGTCTGATGTACTGTATCTTCATATGGGTGAAAAGAGGAGCAGTATTAAAACTTCCCTTTAATAACCTTCACAGACGGTAAGACTGACGAGTAGTTGAAATGCTAATTTGCACCATAAACTCATTCTCCTTGCCCTCCTTCCTAACCAGAACTAGTACTTCTAGTGACTAAAGAGAGTGATGAAAGCAGAAGAATAGGAATAGTTCTGGAAATAGCTATTTAAACACTTGCTGACTTAACAAACATTAAGTTATGTTTTACCTTAGAAATTCCCCCTTACTTCGAGTGCTTCACACGCATTTTTGCAGAGAAGGGGATATTTAAGTTGGTCTAAAGGATGATGAGATCCCTTTCATATGAGATATTTTTATTGTTATTTATGTATATCACATTCATATCTTTAAATGTCAGCCAGTTCCATTAACTAAACTTTTTGAAGGTCTTACTGCATTTGTGATTATGATTGAGAGCAACAGAATGTAGGAAGCAGGAAGAAGTCAATGAAAAGCATGAAGACTGAAGTCACTCTGACTCAAGTTAATGTAAGAATAAAGATATCTGTGAGCTGGCCCACAAATATGCAAAATGAGGTGAACAAAACTCCTTTTAGAAAGGCATACTTATGTGTAAGACATGAATATGCAGAACGGTGGCTAACGGGGCATATAATTTTAAAACCAGGCTTCCACAACAGATGGCTTTATTTACCACATTTGGGAACTTTGCATGGGGGAATCTACCGCCGGAAGCACAGTTGCGTGAGCTGCAAAATGATCAGATATGGGTCAAAAAACCAGACTGCCCTAATGCTTTGTGATAGTGCTTATGTAAGATTGTTGCAATCTGTCCAAAGCAAAAAATGATCCAAATAATTAGATGTGTGTGATGTTTTCTCTCCTAAAATAATTGCAACTGTGTTGGGAATTAGAACAGGTCAACTGGAACATGCATAAGGTAACAGGTTTCCGGTGCAGCTTTTTCAGTTGTGATATTTAAAATACCTTTCCTTAGCATAAAAACACACGACCATTCAATCTGTCGAATTTCTGGTAAACTCTGGGAAATAGAAGGCCATGTAATGGTCACAGTGTGCTGAACAGCAGCTCAGGGAGACAAGAATATGGAAGGGAAATGTTCTACCACTGAATGCATCATTCCTAGTGAATGTCTGGAATCTGTAAAGTACCTAAGAATTTTCTTTCCCTTTTTTTTACAGCTAAAAATGCTGATGACCAGAGGAAAGTGACAGATGCTTTAGCAGAGAGTCATTCAAACGCAAGGCTTGAAAATGAGAAAATGGAACGCAGAGGGCAGACTTGAGCTAGTTTCTACTGCAGGGTTGGGGAGCAATGTTTTATTTCAGTTTGGTCAAGAAAATCAGCATAACTCAAACCGAGGCGTCTCTTGAGTTCCTCAGTTCGTGGGCATCTATGACAAAGTTTCCAGGAGCTGATATTTCTTCATAAAATCTACACCTAAAAGGAAACCTAAGTCTGGTTTCTTTCCATCCTTTTCATATGGTAAATAATAATGATTAGGTGCAGACCCAGAGTGTGGGGGAGGTGGATTTATGCCTCCTCAGTTGTTAGGGTTTTGTTCTTTCCAATTTGCATAAAAACGGAAGTCACTGTTAATGCAGTTAAGGTCGTTGAACAGTTCCAGAGAGTGATTTGGTATTAATAGGAGTAAGAACAAATTTTTGTAGCAGTTCAATCACAAATCTTTCCTAAAATGTATTTTCCTGATGTTAGTCCCCCAGATAAGAGCCCTGGTCTTGCTACACTTTTCAGGCAGATCTGTGGACCCAGATGAATACCTAAAACAACAACAACAAAAAAACACCAATAGTACAACTGGTAGATAGAAGGAGAGACTATTGCATTCTTCTTCCCCGTTACCAATTTCTAAACAATCGGTGACCTAAAACTAGCACTACTTTTAAGTAGACATGAACCGAACAAGAGTTTCATCAGTTCACTAACAAGAAATTCTTAAAGGAACACAAAGTAAGTTTTAACCACATGCTTACCTGAAGATTAACTGGGAAAAGAAAAAGGCTTTTCAATGCCGCTGTCTGTCTTGGGCTAATAATGTTATTTAATTTATATGGATACTCATTGAACAGCATAATCAGGATTTTGGAGGCCTTCAGAAAAAGAAATGAGAACAATTTTAAATGCAGCAATAAATGTACGTAGTTGCAAAGGCTGGTGAGGTGACTGATGTTACTTCAGGTTTGGGAGCTTCCTTATATGTATATTTTATGTTGCTGTTCAATAGTGAGGGACAATTCTCATGCATTTTAAAAATAGGGGCATTAATTTCTGTATCTAATTCTGTTTCGTAAACACACCACACATTTGTTGACTCGCTGATTTTTACACCATTGGTTATTTAAGCCATATCTACCTCTGAATAAATCTAACGTCTTGGCTCCATTAGATCCTGTGGCAAGCTGACTTTTCAGTGGAAGAAGGATTTCACACGTTCACAGCAGCGCTGTAAGTTGCCTCGAGGCAGTCTCACTAGGAAAACACAAGAATACGACAAAGTTTACTGTTTCTAGCTGATGCATGTAAATACCTTGGAAGGTTAGGCAGAGCCTGACTATGCTGTGGAGGCGTTTTGCAAAATATCAGTGTCAGAAGTTGCCAGTTCAACGCTTTCCATAATGATTTTCAAAGAAAGAGATCTGGAAGCCAGGAAAATACAAGGGGAAAGAGTTGTGCAAATCCTATCTTTTTAGGATAACAATGTAGACCATGTTTTTGTTTTTTTCTTTTTTTTTTTTTTTTTTTTTTTTTTTTTTGTTTTTAATATGGGAGGTACCATTAAAATTAACTTGCTCAAAAAAGAAAAGAATCTGACAACCAGACTAATTGATATTATGACCATAATCCTTTGGAACTTTTTTCCATCAAAATGGTGGATGAAATTGGAGGGGAAAAAAAGGAAAGGAAAAGAGGAGAGAAGGGAACGCTATTTTTTTGTGTTTCTACCACCTCCATTGATTCTGTTTTTGAAATTTTCATGAGAACACTGTTGTCTCTTCAAGAAAGGTATTTACATTCTTTCCGTATGTGATTGGCCTGTTAATTACACCGCAAACAGCGTAATTCTGCAGCTCGATGCTGTATCTGTCCCAGGCCACATCAGCTGGTTGTGCTGCAGCATGGTGGAACAGAGACTATCTGAACACTGTCATACTGATGGTCTATGTAGGGAAGAGAACATTTCTGACCCTTGTGAAGCAGCCCTGTTTTTGTTCAGAGCATTAACCAGCGTTAGGCACCAGCAAGTTATTAGATTTTGATCCTCACTTCCAAGAAAAGCAAGAGAATGAGATTTGCCCCATCCCTGGAGGCGTTCAAGGCCAGGCTGGATGTGGCTCTGGGCAGCCTGGGCTGCTGGTTGTCGACCTGCACACAGCAGGGGGTTGGAACCAGATGATCATTGTGGTTCTTTTCAACCCGGGCCATTCTAGGATTCTATGATTTGATGATTTGATGATTCCAGCTGACAGAGTCCCATGGGAAGCATGCCTGACGGTCCAAGATATGCTGGCCATGATGGACAGCCATGTCACATCCTGGGCCTTCCAAAGTGAATTATCACACTTCCAGAGAACTTACAGGTAGCGGAAGGTGAGGATGGAAGGTCAAGTCCCTGCAGAAGAGCGGATCCCCACTTTTGCTGGCAGTGCAGCCTCCTAAAGGGGCTTGCGTAGTTCTTTTACACCTGCACAGAAATACACCTTAAAAAATCTTATTTTGCCTTTCTGTGAACTGGCACTGTTCTGTTACTTAAGTGCCAGAAAGGGCAGGTATTTCTAGGCAGATACGTTAAACTCTTGCAGTACCATGTGCCTGCATAGACTGTCTATCAAATGGATATGATGCTGTACATATCTGCCTGTCACTAGTAAAGTACATATACTGACAGTTGTTTTTTAGTTTAACACATCATTAACAAGAAGCGAGCTTTTATTTGAAAGGAAAAGACTAATTTAAACACCAGAATTGTTTTCAGTCATTTAAGTTACATAGTTCTCACTCCAGAAACTTTGATCATGTATAAGCCCGCTGAAAGGCTGAAATGTAATCAGCCTCACATACATTATGTTGCAATGTTGTGGCACTAGTGCATGACAGAATTTTATTTTCCATTAGTTCATTCTTTGCTGGAAATATAAACACTCTATATGCTTAATAGTCCAAAAAATGAATGTTATTGCTTTTTAAAATTGCCTGTTAATGAGAATTCTGTTTGCTATTAAAAAATCGGGTGCCTTAGGACCATCTTTCAAATGCTGACATACCTATTTGCAACATCAACAGCGTTAAACAATCAAAACAAAATCATCCCTGCTTGTGCTTTTACTAAAAGCAACCAGGTTTTTTAACTGATCGAAATGAATGTTTATAGCATCTGAGGAGCCAGGACTGACTTTTAAATGGCTTCCCACTGAACTATGAACAATTTTTGCAGCAGTGTTGGCTGTGGAAACGTGTGGAACAAAGATAGTTAGTTTTCCAGGAAAAAAAAGCCTGCTGTTCTAAAGGGCTTCTTTTAAGTAGGAAAGATGTAGCAAAGGTTGCACTGACCTGAATCATCAAATGTACACCAATGCTTGAGAAAAAGCAAGTTCCTCAGTGTAGGAAAAGACTGTATTTTACTTGTAAGCACGTACAGGGACTGATTTTCCATAGCAGCCATGAGCTCAGTTGGAATTAAGGATTCCTATCATTTCTAAAGATCAGTATCACTCACTGTGACTCGTCACGTAGCAGCTGAAACAACATAGTTTTCGTTGCCTAACAAGCAAGATTTTTTAGGACGGTGAACTTGAATGGAAGCAAGACAAAGTGAAAGATGATTGGAAAAGCTCCTGTAATTGCATCTACAGTTAATTCAAAAAAAGAAACTGCAGATGAAGATTCTTTTTTTATATGGCTTCTATCCTAATAGTTACAGATACAGGTATTGTACTCACGGATACCCTATTTTTCCTCTTACCTGCAAGATGTAATCCCAACTCCTTCTCATGCCTTCTTTTCATAATCCATGCTGATGATTTGGGTAATGAGAAGGGTTAATTGTCCTGTTAATGAGGAACTGGCCTTAATTTGAGCAAGCGTTTGTGCAATTTTGGTCTGGCAAGAATCATAGCAGATTATTTTCACCTCTTTTGGGAGTGAAAGGCACGTGGAAGATGTCAAGAAACATGAAACCTTCGGAAAGCTCAGTGATCGTGGTGGTATCAGAGTCAGAAGGCTTGGGAGGCTTGGGCCTCTGCTGTGTTTGCGTCTGAAGGCGTTCTTTCTTTGGGTCATTGCTCTTTTCTGTAAAGATATGAGGGGGTGACGTTATGCTCTTCATCATTTGGCAGCACAGCACAGTGGACACTATTCTCAGTCCGACCCTCTTCCTCTGGGCTTTTCTTGAGGCTGCCAGCAGCTCAGGGCCATCTGCTGGACTCCTCTTTTGTCCCAGCCACAGCAGCTCAGTAGACACCAGTCCCTGTCCTGCCCTCTTCCTCAGGGCTCACCTGGAGGTGGCACGGAGCTCAGAGTTATCCACTGGACTCCCATTGTCCCAGCACAGCTGCTTAATGGACACCAGTCCCAGTCTCGCCCTCTTAGGGCTTACCTGGAGGCTGCAGAGATCTTGAGGCTTTCTGCTGGACTCCTCCTTGCTGTCCCAGCACAGCTCAGTGGACACCAGTCCAAGTCCTTCCTTTTCCTCAGAGCGTGGGAAGGAAGAGGGGAGAAGAGGTCTTAGGGAAAGATGGAGAATGGAAAAGGAAGGGGGTGGGGAGCAGCAGCCGTCGCAGGGGTTCTCTGGCAGATGATGACATTTCAACACCGAGATGGAAATCGAGAGCCCCTGGTGCGTCGCCAACAGATGAGACAACGTCTCCAGACAAGCATGGTGTTACAGCATTTGCCCAGGCCTGATGGAGGTGGATCCACCTGCATTGGCTCTGCCTCCAGAGGCAGGTCCGCCTCCATGGGCTTGACGTCATCTTTAGAAGGATCATTTTGCATTTCTTTAGGCTATCTTCTGCTCCCCTTAGCTTAAGCTTCTTTGGTGGAGGAGGATCCATCCTCCTCCAGAAAGGTGGGAGGGAGAGAGAGAGAGAGAGCTCTGGATACATTGCTTCTTGGGTCAGCAGCCACAAGACGCGAGTCAGTGACCCCTTGTTTTGTTCAGCCCAGAGAAGAGCTCTCTCATGGTGTCCCACAGCTGCTCACAGGGAGTGGAGGGGTAGCACTGGTCTCTGCTCTCTGGTAACAGTGACAGGTCCTGAGGGAATGGCATGGAGCTGCATCAAGGGAGTGTGTCAGGTTGGTTTGGGGTAAAGGCTCTGCCCCAGAGGGCACTGGGCACAGCCTTGAGCTGCTGGAGCTTAGAGAACATTTGGACATTGCTCTGAGACATAGATTTTGGGTGGTCCTCTGCAGATCCAGAGTTGGACTCGGTGATTCTTGTGGGTCCCTTCCAGCTTGGGATATTCTGTGATTTTGTGTGAGAGAAGGCGGTAGTCAGTAAAAAAGGAGAAGCGTAAATTATTTTACAAGCATAGTTATGCATTCCCACTATATCATTTTGCTTTGTATTTGTTACCAGCTTAAAATATATTGGCCATGAATGGTAACTACAGCTTAACCTTCTTCACTGCACTGCTCAATATTTTATCTTCGGTACCATGATGTTAGATCAAAAACTGAACCAAAATCTAAATCAGTTCGGTCTGAAACAAATACATTTCTTCCATTTTCCTTGCTTAAACAAAAAGGTCATTCCTACACAAAATATTTTATTTGATCTGGAAAAAAAAAAGACTGTTCTCCAAGTCTAAAATGCGAGATTAGATTTCCCCAAATAGCAGGAGGAGGAATTACTTCCCCCTCGTTCATCATTTGGTAGTTCACACCATAAATCTTCATTCTCTTCTCCTGCAAGAAAAGATGTGAAACTGCTTGTCTGAGTTCCAGTCATTGTGGCTAAAAGCCATTCTGGGACAAGGAGGATGAAAGAACGAGGAGGAAGAAGAGCTCATGTGCTCATCTGTAGTAATTGAAAAACTAATGAATAGCTAAATGCATTCAGCAGCATAAATGGAGCCGGTGCTCCCTGAGCTTCGTTGCCAGGTGAGAGAACTGGATGCTATGCTTGCTGATCAGTCCTTTGCCCCAAGAGGCCCAATGTCACCGAAGGTGGTAGGCGCCCAGCCCTTCATTCTGAACGCTTTCCTGCCACATAACACCTCTCTGGATATGTGGAGAAGGCAAAGCAAAGTCCTGTCAGAGATGGAATGCCTGTAGCCTACATCTGAGGAGTTATCCTGGAGCCTTGCTCTGAACCAAGCCAAAATTTTATTTTCTTTCAGGTAGAAAACTGTTATTTTGTACCTTATGACCACACATTGATGTATGATAGACTGCAGACGTGAAGGAGGGAAGATAATTCCTGCATGAAAAGACTTCACAGTAATTTTGCTCATCTGCTTTACTGGTGTCTGGAATAAAGATTAAGTGCCAAGTATTAAAGTACTAGATACTGAAAAAATGAGGGAAGTCCATCTCTTTGGTATCTGCAGCCCGGTGACTAAGGGTAAGGAAATTGAAACCTGCGTGCTGACTTTTGATCTCCTAGCCTGGTTGTCTAATAGCATCCTGTAGCACTGTAAAGTAATGCAGCTGTTAATAAACCTGAATCTCATGTTGAAAACATGTTAAAATGAGGAGAAACCACAGAGGTTGAGACTACATCATCTTAAAATTATCTGAGGAGAAAGATCGTGATATAATTCAAGTCTTTACATTTTTTTAAGACAGTAAATGACATTAACTCAAGTTGCCCATATTCACCACAACCAGAAAAGCATTTACTTGTTAATTAATTAAAAAACAAATTCAGAACAGACGTTTTAAAGCACTTTTTCGTATACTGGGTTACTCTGAAAAAGTAGCCTTACCAAAGAGAAAAAAAGATTACTGGCTCACTCAAGAAGGAACTGAAAAGAACTTACACAGCAGTAGGCTATAGAAAGAATCTGGATGTTTCATCTTTAAATCTGACTTACACACATTTTAAAATGGTTTTCTGGATTCCTTACTACCTTTGGACTACATGAATTAATGATACAAATTCTGCATATTGCAGCCTTACCTAAGAAAACAGAATACAAATGCAGTTTCTCAGTATACCATTTCTAATAAAACTGTGAAAGTAGATGGGTTTTTTTTCAAGCATTACTGACCAAAATAGCTACTAGTCTTCTATGCGTGCTATATTTCTCTCAAATACAGTAACAAAAACAAAGAGAAATTCCATGATAAAACTTTTGGGAACCGAGTCATTTTAAACTTCAATTCATTCCCTGTGTCAAACTGGGTCAATTTTGCTGCTTAATCTTGCTTCCATTAAAGTTGTGTAAAGTCATTAATGTTCACCCTGTCAAAAACTTAAATCAGAAGCTTGATTTAGTGCTGAACATCCAGTAATCCCAGGTACAAGAGAAAGTTCCTGAATGCTATACAACCTGAAAAACCAAGCTTGCTACCTGCAGGTATTCCATTTTTAGGTTTTCATGAAGAACTAATGCTTGAAAATCTTCTAAACAGTTGGAGAGTCTGGCAGCTCTGGCTATCTTACAGGGGGAATGGGAAGACAGACTGAGACACTAGAGCTGAGGTTTAGGAAAACTGGGGCTGCAGTCACTCCTAATAATAATTTGCATCTATGCTGGGTACCTTGAGGCCTTGTTTTTGAAGCATCTAGCATCATCCTCCTGTAGCTGACCTTCGGTGTATTTAACAGGTAGCTTTTGTTTCAGCTGCCGCTCTGCTAATCTCACACTCCTATGAAATGGCTTTTGACGAGGTGAGACCCTTTGTGGAGCTGCCTGCTGCAGAGGACCTTTAGTTTAAATGAAAATGACAGCATTTCAGCAAGTGCAATTGTAAGCTCTATGACAGAATATAGATTCACAAGGAGAAGTAATTCTTGCTACTGTCATAAAACATTGCTTTTTTTCAGATGTCAGCACCATTTGGTGCCACTGTGACTGGAGAAATTTCTAACACCATCTACTGGCAAATGCTCTGAACTGAAAGAAAAAAAGAAGAGCATTCATTTCTCTAAACTGGATTCCAAAATAAAATGGTATATGATCACCTTTCAGATGCACGCTACTCATTGGCACCCTAACGACATCTCTCCCACTGCATTTGTAGGGAAGGAGCTGAAGAATGAACTGCAAGGTTGAGCTTCTCTCAAGCCTGTGGATGACACTACTTTTCAAGACTGACTTGATGTAGGAGTAACCATGGTTATTCTGCTCTCTACAGCTCTCTTCCCCTTACTGCGAAGACTGCGTGAGGATGTGGGCCAATGGGAAGGTTGCAGGAGTCTGGAGGAATGCTGGAGATGTAGAGTGTTGACAGAGGATGTGCATATCTGAGAGGAACTCAAGAGAGGTACAGCTGTGGTAACCTTACAAAGGAACAAGGAACTACAAAAGAATTTTTTTTTCAAGACTGCTTCAGCGCTGTGGTTCACTGTCTCAGCCAACCATCATCATATAAGAACACTATTTTACACTGTTGAGAATTAAAGCAAGCACCAGACAAAATATATTGGCAGGGAAGTTTGATTCTTCATAAAAACTTCTGTGGTATAACTGTAAAATGGTCCTTCCTCAAACTGGTGATGCCGTGGTTGACTAGGAGTTGATAAACATTAAGCATGGTCTCTGCTTTTTGAGCTTGAACACTGTGTGAGTCAAAAGTAACGTGCAGATGCAACGTGCAGCCCCTTAGTTGGACTAGGAGATCTCCAGGGGTCCCTTACAGTCCCTCCTACTCTCTAATTCTGCAACCAGTGGATTCCCCAGTTTTTCACTGTGGAACTCAAATTAGGTTTTCATAAAGATATTAACAACGTCATATTCAATCCATTTTGGTTGTATTCTCTACGTAAATTGTCCCAAAGATGTCTAAATCTTTTCACGTTACAATTAAAACAGAGCTACATAGATTGATGTTATGCTCACTTATAAATTGTTTAGCCAAAATCCACATCAGAGCCAGGACAAAATATTCACATACAAAACAGAAACTGCAGAGGTCCAAAAGCTCTTCTCTCACATTTCTTCCTTATCAGTGAATAGGTCATGTCCACTCAGGACAAATAAGAGCCTGAGCCCGGTCCTCTGCCTAAATTGAGAGGTATCTATCAACCAGTCACTCTCCTGAATAGACTGTGCTATTTGAAGCAGTGGTCAGCAGTTTCCAAGCTTTCAGACAATGACGGTGATTCATTACCACTTAAATCTTCACAATTTCCTCTTATTCTTTATCAGAGAGAGGGCAGAAACTGCAGCTAAATGCCAAAAAAAGCAAGAACTGGGTACAAGCATGACGTAACACAGTAAACTCCTGAGCCAAGAGCAGTTCAACCAGCCAAGTTGCATCCCAGTGAGCTGTTTGAGACCATAAAACCATCAGTTCTGAGAACCTGTACTCTACATCAGAGCCAAACACCAAGTACTGCCAACGAGTCGGTATAGTAACTGTATTTCACTTTAAGGAACCTGGACATTTGGGAACCTTCCACATGCAGCGTGCACTCTTCTTCCTGCCTACATCATCAGCTGACAAGCCAACTGCGTTCCCACGGTTTGTTGAATTCTCTAACTGACAAATTATGATACTTTGAAGTAATTTTAACCAAAAAAGCAATGATCCAGCCCGTATTTCTTTACTATCTCAAGAAACAGAGCCTCAAAGTGTCACTATGCTTCAACTGTACCTGTTTCTTCCCATACAGGAGGGCAGAAGTCCACCTCAGGACAGTTGTGTCACACAGAGTCCTGTAGAAAAGCACACAGATCCCTTCTAAGCATCACCTAAGAAGCAAAAACACAGAAGGAAGTAAAATGTTTTGTCCAATCTTCTCTCCACCAAAGACAATTTTCCTATGTTTTGTAATGAAAGAGCCTACATTCCTAAGCTTTGTTTCGGTCTCTCCGCATTTCAGTCTTGTGTATATTAGTTTATTAGCAGAAATATAAGTGAGTATATATATTATGCCTTCTCCTCTGGGATATATTCCTAGAATCCTCTATTTTTCCAGATATGATTAATTTTGACTTATGCAGACATATAAATGCAGCCACTGACTCAGCTGGCATAAATCAGTCTGGTTCCACTGACATTAATGAAGCCTCGGGGTGCTGATTTATCACTTCATAATAAAGCTCTGTACAACAATGTTTTGCATTTAAGATGCTGTTGTTGGAGTACAGTGCTTTTCTCTCTTTTTTTTCAAATTGTTCATTCATTCTTTTCCTGAGGTATTTTGAACATCTTATTGTCTCTGTATTTCACATTGGGTGACCTCAACTTTTTAGCAGTAAAAATTTGTCTGCTAAAAATTTAGCAGACTTCAATCTTATGTTTGAGCACTGAGGTAGAAAGAGAGAGAGAAACGGAAGACAAGCATTTATCTCAAGCTGTTAACCAATACTTGCCTGCAAACACATATAGACACAAAGTCCTCTGTGCTGCAGTATTTCAGAATATGCACTGAGTCAAAATGTCTGATCTGCCTCTGTCAGCAGGATCTTGTCAAATGAAAAGATTGCTCCTAGCTTTGCAGTGGATTTGGTAAATCTGACTCTTTTGAAGATGTGATTACTATTATTGCTGTAAGATTTATTTATTTTTTATTTTTTTTTTAATTTAGTTTTGTTTAGAGAAAGCTAACTACAAGCATGGATACCTTAGCTTATGCAGCTTCATCAGCACTCCACAAGGATTGGTGCTGGTTGGCAATGATTTAAATCATCATTTAAAGATGAAAATGCAATTAAGCACTGGGAACACGTAAGCTAATTTATCCATTGAAAAGTAAATTAGGAGGGGGTGACTTCTATGCTGCAGAATAAAAGTTTGCAAAACATTGTAACATTTCTTTGGCTACTTTTTATTATAATAATTATTTAATCTTGCACAAGCCTTTTAGGCTTATGATTTCTGGTCCTCAAAATCAGCAGTGCTGAAGTCCCTCTTAAGGATGAGAGTGTGAAACAGTAACTAGTTCAATGGAAGGCATATTTGAGTTTGGGGGAAACAGTCTTGGACCAGAATGTCTGTTGGAAGGGTTATTTGATGCTACAGTCTGCAAAGGCAGACCAGGTAAGGATGTGGGAAGTCAGCAGGGAAGCCCACACTGCTAAAGGCACAAGTCACCGTCTTGAGGTGTGCAGGGTACACAGGGCTGGCGGCTGCAGTGCAGTGGGACAACACTGGGAAGAGTGGGAGGGGACACAGGAGTACCTGATGTCCTGATGATGTAGCAAAGAGGAGCCCACAAAGATCGGGGAGGGTCTGAAGGGTGAGGAGTGGGGGGAGCCACTGAGGTCTGTTGCTTTGTTCAGCCCAGAGAAGAGCTCTCTCGAGGCAGACGTCAACTCCTCATGGTAGCAGCATGGTATCAACATGAGAGAACAGAATCTGGCTCTGTATAGTTTTTGAAAAAATTGGGACGAATTGAAAGCATCTAGATGTTACTAAATGCATTCAAATTAAGGTATTTCTATGTCGACTTGGACTATTTGATGCCTACTTATTACAGCAAGTCATAATACTTCAATACTCCTGAAGGCTTTATGCAACGACTGTTTTTGCAGTGCAGCAATGTTTATAAATTGCTTCAAAAACCTTAGATGAAAGGACCTGTAAATGTAGAATACACCATTACATCTAATTAATGCACTTCATACGTCTCTGACTTCCTCCTGATGTCCTACTCAAGGTGCTGCTGCTGCCGGAACTGTTTCGAGCGTTAGAGAAAGTGTGAATTGGAACAACCTGGTTATGAAAGAAAAATACATGCTGTTCAGGGTTGTTTTAATTTGTTACTATGTATTTTCATATTATCTGCTAACATTAATGAACAAGCAAATGTTGACTATCAGACTCTCAGTGATTAAGAAATTTGCTCCTTTTAAGCCATGATCCTTTACTTTTTCCCTCAGCTCTCTTACCTGAAATATTCATTAGTTTTCCAATTCAAACAATTCTTCATTTGATGCTTCTGCATCTTCTTTTTTTTTTTTTAAACTATACTAAGAGTGCTGGACTAGTACCAAAGAAGCAATTATCATATAAGAAATAGGAAAATCGTATGTATTTAAAGCAGAGTGGGTCATCTTAAAATTAAATGATTAAGTAAAATCAATAAAAATAATGCTGTAGAATCCAGGATTGATTGGTTGTGACTCTAAAAACACTGCCAATCTTCCAAACATATTTTTTTCCTTTAAGAAAAAAAATCTTCAGGGTAAGATTATCCCTTCTTTGATGTAAAGGAAAATAGTTCACTGCAATCAGTTTTCTTCATCTCACTAATGAACAAGTCAAATTCATTTCAGGGACAGATTAAACCCGCTCTCATAATGTGCTGTGCTCTGGGATGCTATTGATGTTTGATGTTCGTACCTATACACTGCTCCCAGCACTTTAAATGATTACATAGTAGGTATGTGTTTATATATAGCACGTAATCATCTCAAATGCTAGGATTGCAATATGAATAGGGAATAAGAAATAAACTTTACTTTTGATTATATAGGCTCGTGATTAATTGTTTGAACTTTGGAAAATGAGAAAGCCCTAATTAATTAAAAAAAAAAAAAACCTCCTAAAATGGGGTATTATTTAAGTGTAATATATAGTATATGGGTTTTATGTGCAGAGTATAGCACTTTTTGGGGTTTTGTTTCATTTCTTATTCAATTCAGTTTATTACTTTATTCATTGATTTCCCATAATAATGTTTGTGCTTATATACTGCCTTTCAGCTGGGGCTCGTAAAGTACTTTACAAACATTAATATATTTTTCTCACCACTTTTATTTACATTGCCCTTCTAATGAAACTATCATAGACTAGCTGTATATAAATTACACTGAGGCAGCAACAGAAGATAGAACATGCACCAGAAAAATAAACTAAAAAGCAACATTGGAATGAAAGCCTTAAACCCAACCTATTCCAGGTAACCATTCCAACTTCTCGCCTGGCCTTCCCAAAAAGCAGCAAGATGCGGGCAGAACACTTGCGTTAGGGCTCAGTCAATACAGACAGTAGTTTCATCTGCTCTTAATAATTGCCAGTTGCAGAGATTGCCTGGGGAGAGCACAGAATCTGTTCTCACCCTGGGCTGCCTGTACTGTCAGGAATTTCACGTCTATCTTAAACCGGTTACTTCAGATTTAGCTCATTATCTGATGTCTCATTCACTTGGACATGAAGAAAAATTATTCCCCATCTTTGCTACAGTGTCCAGTGAATGTGAAGGCAATTATCACATTGCACCCTTATCTTCTTTTCTCCTCAGATGGAATGTCACCTCCTTAACTCCTCACCAGTACAGCCATCCTCATTGACTTCCTTTGGCTATTCTCCTGCCCCATCCGCCATGAAGGGCAGTGCTGAAAAAGTACACAGGAGTCCACCTGGATTCCTTCACTCACCCAACTTGTTTCTTCCTGTACATCCACTGGATGCTTACATCTTGTACAACAGCTGAGAGTCTTCTGATGCTAAGACCCCAAATCCTCCTGCAGATCCCCATCTGATCTGAAGCTGCACAAGTTTAGTGCCTTGTATTTGCCCTTATGCAATTCCACTCTATATTTCAAGCCACTTTTCTAAGTTATCAAAGTTCTGGAGATTTTTTTTTTCTTATTTTTTGCTACAAGCCTGAAGCTGCCTAGGCTGGTACTGTCTGCAGTTTAATAAGCATCTTTTTTTTTCATTATCTAAACTATAGATGAGAATATTGAGTACTGCTACAACCAGAGCACACAAGATCCTACCTGACAGTTTGGCAGTAAATCATTAATAAAATCTGTTAATATGGTTTCCCACAAAGCCTTGTACCAACCTTAGGGCACTTTGATTATAGACAATTTTTTCCCAGTTTACTTCTCTAACTGTCATGTTACACTTAAATAAAGTCCAAGTACATAGCACTGACTACTTTTTCTGTAGCCACTCTATAATTTTGTAACAGAAAAGATTTTGTAATCAGAAAAGCTGATTTAAAACTAAAATTGGTTATTTTTCTTGGTTGAGTTTGTGAGTTCTTATCCTCCTTACAAATTATATATTTGCTTCTTCGGTATTATTTTCTCAGAAGAATAGTTGGCCTTTCATTTCTCTGATCCTCCTGTTTTTTTGTTTTGGGGTGGTTGGTTTGTTTGATTTGCTTGTTCATTTGTTTGTTTTACCTTTTTAATGATAAGGATTACATTTGCCCTTCTCCAGGCTCTGGAAATCTTCTGCATGCTCTCAAAAGTAACCTTCAATTGTTCCATTTGATTCCCCTCGTTCTTCGGGCTTCCCATGAAGGAGAGACCAATCCAATTTCAAAAACTGAACTTTGCTCAGTTCTGTCTGAGGAGTCTTTCCCCCGCTGCAGCCCCAAATCTTGCCTCTTTGCCACCAGTAACATATAGTTGGCCTTCCGACTCTGATCCAGAAGAAAATAGAAGTGGCATTAATTATTTCGGCTTTCTCATAGTTACATGCCAATAGAATTATAGCCTAAAACATACCAGCATTTTCCATATCCCCTCCTGATGTCTTATTTTGCGCTCCAATGCAAAAATGCTGACTACTACAATAACCAGGATGAACTCCTGTGGCACCCCACTTGACACATCCTTCCAGCTTTATCTTTGTATAACACATCAATATCAGACTTAGCAGAATAAAGGGCTGTTTGTAAGATGCAAAAGACCGTTGTGCATCTTCACATTCCTTCGATTTCTTGTAGAAGATCATTATCGAAATAGAGATTTGACAGGACTCTACAACATTTCAATGAAGTTGTTTCTGTTTGTTTGTTTTTTACCACAGGCACTCCCCACTTTCCTTCTGCTCAACTATGGTTATAGTATATATGGCAGTGATGTAACAGTTGACATCAGGAGAGTTCAAAGCGCTTTCCACATTGAACTTTTTAATAAGGTAAAAGTAGATGAAGTGACTTTCCTAAGGTCACTCAGCAAGTTACAGGCTGAGCCAAGAACATAGTCCAGACCTCCCCAAGTCCCAGGCCAGTGTTCCATCATTATGCCACCCAGCCTGCCATATTATTAATGTTCAGCCTAAATATATTCTTGTAGCAATTGATTTAATGTCATTAGTTTCAGACTGCTAATCCAAAGCTCTGTTAGTTACCCAGCCTTCAGGGATTTACTGGAAACAAAGGACTTCAGAACTAATCCAGAAAATAACATTAGAACTTTTTCATAAGACCTAGCTACTTCTTTTTCTTTCTTTCTTTTTTCCTTCCTTTTTTTTTTTTTTTTGTTGTTGTTGTAAAGCTATTTCAAAAGGAAAATATCCACCTAATTCTAAATCCACTGAAAATAATTCCACTTAGATTGCATGTACATTTGTGAGCAGATGCACAACGTTTTCTGTTTCAGTTTCAGGCTATAAAATGCAATAAACGTGTACAGTAGTAATTAATGGGGTAAAGTCAAGATAATGATCACGATACATAAAATAGAGAATTAAATTAAATATTCCTGGGGGTCTTAAAGAGATAATAGAAGTGGGTGGAATTGAACGCCGCAAAAAATCTCCCTTCATCCACCACCTCCTGTGCACAAGAGCAGATAAAGATGCCTAGTGTATCAAAGCTCTAAAACAGATTAAAAGAACAACAACAAAAAGGAGATGAAGTATGCTCACATGAAGATATGAAAAGGATTTAAGAGTGCCTGTGTCCAAGGAATCAGTTCAAAGTCCTCTCAAGATGGCACAGAAATGACAAAATCCAAGACAGTTACATATTCATTAATCCAGTGTGAGAATGCGCAGCAATCGGGACAATTAGAAAAAAATATGTGCTCAAAGATCAAGAAAAGGTGCCAAAATCTTTGTATTAAATAAATCACAGTGTGCTCTTGACTTTCGTGATCTGCCACGTTCAACTAGGTGGAAGAGTAGGTGGAAGGTAAATACACTTTTCAGTCTAGTATCCCTGGTCTGTATATAGATTTTTCTCACCCAGATTTCTCCACAGCAGAGCTTCAAATTGCTGTGGCTTTCAGAAAGCCTTACACTGTGTGTACTCCAGGATTGTATGTCAAATAAAATAATATTCTCTTCTTTCCATTTACATCCTTTCCTGCACAAGACGTTTTTCTTGAACAGCTGCCTTGCTGGTATTCTTCAGCTGACACCTTGCACTTTATAGTGCTTTTTAACTGCCAGTATCCAACAACGGGTAGCAACTACTAGGTTTTATGTCAATTCAATCTATATCTTCACCATAACTTTTGTGTTATCTTTGGTCCAACGTGGATGACGTTGTTCTTTATAGCAAATCTAGTAAAATAATAGTTTCTGTTTTCCACAGCTGGATGTCTAAGAATGCTTAGTGCTTCAAATATTTTATCCTTTCCGTAGACATAAAATACAAAACAATAAGACATAAAATCAGTTATTCTAAGAGAAATTTTTAAAACTGCAGTGATGTAGAACAGCTCTAAGCACAAATAGTCCAGAATAAAAGAAAAAGATTCAAAACCCATCCTACTCAAATTTTAGCATATTTGAATTGGATTTGTACAGGGATATCAACAGCCAAACGCCCGGATTTGCCTTTGTGTTCAAATCCAGTGTCCACCACACCTGTATGATATCCCTTGCAGTTTCTCTGCAGGAAGAGGACTGACCAGTCTTTCCAACAGCTTTTATAAAAAGCAGTACAAACTACTTTCGTTTTTTGTATCTATTTCTCAGTTTCAGCATGTTCTAGTGACAGCAGACAGGTAAAAGGCAACACGTGAAAGAAAGCCCTACTCCCAGTTCTGCAGTTACTTATATTTCTTTTAATATTCTTTCAGTTTAACAAACTAAATTTTAAAACACTGCTACTCATTTGGATTTTCACAGGCAAAGAGGGAAAAAAAGTTACGTGCGTGAGGTCATTCATCTCATCTTGATCTGCTGGTTAGTACCAACACACAAAGCTTTCTTTTCAGAGACTAAAATATTTTTCCCCCATTTACTCCCACACCTGACGTTCTTTTCCTTCATTACCTCCTTTCCTGTGGAAAAAAAAAAACCATAAGGAAAACCTACTTTTCTTCTGAGCTGAACTCAGCAATCAGCCCATTACTCCAGAGAAGGGTATTTTGTAGTTCTATACTGATTGCTTTGTTGCCTACCTACAGATTACATTAAAAAAAAAAAACACAAAAACTATGTAAAATTTCAAATAGTAATTGCAGCACTTAAAGCTCATTCAGTTACGAACCAAAGATCTGTCTAGAAAGTTACTTAAGTAGTAACTTCTTTTAACTAGGCCATTAAATAATTGATCTCAGTAATGCTAATTTTTGCAAGAGTTATACTTTTAAGCCTGCTTTGACGTATCTGTGTAATACTTTATCTTTTCTGTGCTTTTTTTTCCTTCCCTCCAAGCTCACTCTGAATTGTCAGACTGTTATTTTCTTGTATTCCACCAGAAATAAAAAAGCAGTCAGTATTCATGAACACTGTTGCTGCATATTTATTGATACTTCATATTTCATGTTCAGATTTGAGGAATCGAGAAGAATGGACACTGAAAGAAATGCAGATAAGCGGTCTTTTGTAGAGGCAAAGAAACCTAATTTGAAAAATAAACTGTGGAATGCTTCCAATGACAGTAGCCATTTAGGGAGTAGGCATCTCACAAAAATACAGCTACCTGCTGCTAGAAGCACCATCTGCTTCATCTTAGAAAGGTCTTCAGACAGAAACTAAGGCAGATTTTGGACCTCTATTTCTTTTAATCAAATCAAGAATGTCATATGTCACACAATAGAAATAACTAAATAAGATCACCTCCTCTTCCTAACACTGCTGGCGCTATTGAGTTACTAAGTTGTCTGACAAAGCACCTCTTGTAGTTAAAGAAAGAGAAAACAATCTACTGTTAAAAAATTACGCCGTGACGTGATGTTGTGAGGGCAAGCATGGGTGCAGTGATCAGATTTGTGCATGTGGATTCAGGATCCCATGCACTACATTGTGATGGACAAGCATATGAGTTCCCATCCATGTAATTCCATAACAGAAAAAGCACCCAATGGGTAGGTAAGGGGTACCTACGTTTAAGGCTCTGGCTTGACCTTACGTAAAAATTTTCCTGCAAGTGATTTGTTCTTTATCTTAGGAAATCCCTGGTGCCACTGACTACTTCAGTCAGATTAATTCCAATGAATGCTAAATAAATAAAAGGCATTTCTCAAAATGCTAAGAGATTTGTATGAGTTACAACAACATAGAGTGGAAAAACAATATGTGAACAGTTCCTAGCAGAAACAGCCCTGAATGACAACAGGCATCAGTTAGATTTCATCCTACCAAATAATCTGCATGCTGACAGCAGATTATCACAGGGCTATAGACTAAGCACTGATTTTTTCAGTATGTTCAGATTCCAATAAGCATGATGCACTGTACATGACAATAACATTACAGTCCCTTAAGATTAACTGGGTCTTTTAAAATCTTATGTCTCAAAGATGGAACATTTAAAAAACCTGCAGTTTTAACTTTTTTTCTCATCCTTCTGTATCAAGAGCACCGTAGTTACTGATGTAGGCACCCAAGCTGATATTTTAGACATACATTCGTGTATATAAATAAAGATTATCTCGATATGGTGCACACCAACCCATGTTAAATGCAATTTAGCATCTACCCTTTCATGACAAAGCAGAACAGAAAAGCTCCTGACTCACATTCGTGTTGCAGACCAGGTTGACGTGCAATTCTCTGAAGTTATTCACAGAAGATTTTTATCTGTAGGCAAAAAGCAAACACCTCTCAATGCAAATCTCATGTGATTGATATCTTAGTGTCAGAACTCTAGCTCTGAATCTTCAGCAAATTGCTCATCCCACATATAATATGTTGCTGTGTCACTGAATTCACTGCTGCTCATTTCGTGTCAGACTGTTTATCACCACCCCAGTCTCAAATCATGGGAGCAGCCAAACATCTGCTTGAGATGCTCAGCTACCAGGTCTGAAATGTGACTACTTGAAAGAAGCCATTATAAATCTTCCACGCAGAGCTTTGCAGCATTGTGTCACCTTCCACAAGTCACTGATGGTGTTTGCAGGCACCCAAATCTCCCAGCCCTGATCCTCTCATTCCATCCTGCTGGCCCACCTCCAATAATGAGAAGCAAAAGAGAGGAAAGATCCCTATTGCCTTTTTGCACAACTCAGGAATGGAGATTTAGCTTAGATTAACAGCTGCGTTTCCCTGCACACTGAAGTGTATTGGCTGTGCTAAATTTTGCTCTTTGGTACCTGCTCTGTTAGACTGAGTTGCTATCTTTCAGCAACCAAGCTGAAAACCTCATGGTTTTGTCATAACAATTTGCAGATAAGCTCTTCTTGTCTTTCACACGAATAAAATCTAACCCTTCAACCAGCAGGTCTGACACTTATGCAAAAGAAAATATGGAAAAACATATGCATATATTAGCCTGGACTGAAAACAGATGGCTACGAAGTTGCAAAAGCTATTTGTGGCACAGCTGTGTTTGGATATTTTCCCTTCGCATTGGTCACGCTTTCTCCCTGTGCCAACATATCCATAAGAAGTTGCATGCAACCATGCTGTGCTAATGGAAAAATCTATGTTATATCAGGCTCATATACCATCTCATCTGAGGTCAGAACCAGTTCAGGCAAATAGGAAATATTTGTGCTATGCTACAGAGCCAAGCCCAGACTGCAAGAGATCATCTTAATGGGAAGTTGCACTCCCTAATGCTGAAGTGAGCTCTGAGTAGAGCTGAGTCTAGTGCTCGTTAGGTAAAACCATTGAAGAGCCACAAAATATTTTCTCTTGCACAGTTTTTCCATGGGTCAAACTTCTGGAATTGTCCCAAAAGAACTCGTGGCATCTCCTGAAAATACATATATATATTTTTAAAGTAGCAGCCATCACCTATTTACAGATCTCTGCACTTCCTAAATCAGTGACTGTGTTGTGAGAACATGAATTGTTTACTTCCATAGAGCTGAAAGATGGCAGCATCAGCATTTTGAGCTCTGTTCGTGAAAGGAAAACGATCATGACAAACCGTTTATGGAAACATCTAGAGAAAAAATGAAAAGGAAAGACTGATGCTTTCACTTTTCCAAGGGCCATGTGCATGGCATTCCTAAGTGCCATGCATCTTTCAGCCATTACATAGAAATAAAATATAAAAACATAAAAATATAAAAAGTATAGAAATATGTTTCTAAATATGGAATATATAACAATGGTAGAAAGTTTCCTTTATGAATTACTACAGCATTTTTTTCCTGCTAGAATGTCGTTCTCAGATAAAGCTGTAAAACTGTTACAATTATACCGGTTTACAGAGTTCTATCGTCATAGTTTTCTCTGGCCAAAGACAATGAGAGAACATAGACAAGCCAGGAGACCAAAATAATGGCATTTGATGGTATTTCCCATCAGCTTGCTGCAACAATCAAATTAGTGGCAGTTGTTTCTGTGGATGAACTTACACAAAACACACGTTTCTAATATCAGCGCCTGGAACTCTGTGAGAGAAATCTTACCTGGAGCTTAACTTTATAAGCAGCTTCTTAGAACCCAGCAGCTGTCTTAAGCCAGATGCGAATTCTTCTTACAGTGCAGCCATCTCATAGAACTAATGAAGCCACTACTGCTCCTAGTGCAGCAGTTCCACATGGGGAATCATGGTAAGTATAACTTGGTGAACTCACCTACACCGAAGAGATGACAAGAAGACCAGTGATAAAAAACATAACTAAGTTAGATCAGGTTTTCTCATCAATGGAGGCACCTTCCCGAGGTCCTTCAGATAGGTTTCAAAGCCTTAGCGCTTCAAGGTGTCTCAGAACGCCTTTTTCCACTTCACTCAAAAATATATCCCTGACGGTGCATCTCCTCAGGTAAACAACATTCTGACTGAATGAATGAAAGAAGCACCAAACAGAAGTCTTGGAATTAAACTGCTCCACTGAGAGCTGAAAACTTTCTTATATGTTAGAAGGACAAATATTATATCAGCAGTCTTTTTTTACAGCAAAGGTCCGACCTTGCTATCTGGAAATATAACGTACACCTGCAGACTACATTATAAAAGCAAAGTTCAGCAATTGCATCTCCAAGTGTCTGATTGGATCTTTGATATTTAGAAGCAAGCTAAGAATTGTGAAGTGTAAAATGGCGGGTAAAACGTTAGCTCACGTGAACAGAGCAATTCTTCTGAATATTTTCTGCTTACTTGACAAGCAAGACCAGGGGTTTAATGCCCAAGCAGTATGCCATCCTCTGCTATTATAATAACTGCTATGATTATTAAATTCTGTGTTCATATTAAAAGACTTAGCGCTGATAGATTAAATATCTTAATACATTCATACCTTTGTGGTTAAAGAATATGTTGGAGAGAGCACACAAACCTCTGGCGTTTGTTATTTTTGGCAAGCAAACGTTTATAAACATTTTGTATGAGCAGTGAATTAAAATGCCAGGTCTCTGTTATAGCTAAGGTGCATTGTGCGCAGAGCTGAAAGTTTACACAAAGAGCAAAAATAAGCAAGTAAATTGTTGCAGTCATTCATTTCTATTGCTCTAATTTGCTATTCTCATCTCTGCTATTACTAGAGGAGTCATATACTGAAAGCTCATTTTACAGTTGAGACTAAAACATTTTGAAAGGAGGTAATTCTTTCCAAGCTATTTTGAAAGACAACAGTTTGACATACTGCGTTTGCTGCCTGAACTTAGATACTTTGCTTGCCTTTCACCTTAGACACATTGCTGTTTTCTCCTATGAAGGCAGTCGTTCATGCAACTTAAAATGCAGTTCAACACTTCAGGATACTATAGTAGAAACTGTTTACCTCTCTACAGATCTGTTTCTACATCCAGTCATATCTGCTATTTTATGTAGTCAAGTCTTGCTCTTTCATCCTTTTTTATTTTTTTTCCTCCTGCAAGTACAGAATCAGAACAGCAAAGCGTGAGAGCAGCTGCTTTGTCTTTCTAGTCATCAAACCTGTTCTGTGTGAACACAGTCATTATATTACCTGCGTGAAATCATTAGTGATCAACGATGCAAAAGAAAGAACGTTGTTGGGCTCTCAGATCTTCGCTTAAATTTCCGTGAAAAAAGCAGACAATTATGTGAATGTTATACACATGTACTTCTATAAACTCACACATACAGACGTAGATTTTCTCTACAGCTGGGACACCAACATGCAATAAATCCATTTGTTATCATCCTCTGAGCACAAGTAAAGCTTCCCATAAATGTTGTCATTTGGCCTTTTCTGAAAAGGTCACCAAAAGGGCATTGATCTCTCATTGGGTTTCGATTACACACACTTTTGAACTGAGGATCTTTACATTTACTGCTCTCATTTATCACAGAACGTTGATTACAGGAAACATCCAAATTCTGACATTTCAAAGGTCAGTTCGCAATTTTTAAAAATTCCCCTCCATTATTCATTTGACTGCATGCCCTCCTCCACCAGAAATCCATTGGAATCACCAGTTAACTTTTTCATCTAATCAATTTATACCAGAAGTTCAGATTTTAGCAGAATTTAGAAATACTTGATGCTATAACAAAAGACACCTGATTGTACTGGTAATACACTGGTGGAAACATTTCGCTTGATATAAACATCCTCTGTTCTTGATGATCCTTATGGATCCCTTCCAAGTTCATAAAATATCCTATGAGTTTTTTTTACTTGGGTAGTATGACACCAAACTTGAAAGCAAGTGGTGCATACACTTAATTTCTGAGTTACAATATTGCTGTGCGTAAAGGCAGCAGCATTATCTCTCTCTGTTTTCCCTTATCCTGACATGTCTAATGAGCTCTTGCATTCTGCTTCAGTGTTTCAGTGAATGCTGATCTCTTTCTAAATACTGATAAAATAAATACCTTCTCACATACATCTTAGCCATTTGACCTGTAGTAAATGTCATGGATTACCCTCAAAAAATACTGAGAATTTCTCCAAATTTGTAGTACAGTATTCTGTTACAACAGTAAAATCAACCAAGTTTTGAGAGTTCTAAGCATTAATATGATGCTCACTTTATTAGGAGAGAGAAGTCATCTATGTTGTTTTCCTTTTGATCTTACCACTTGCTTATTGGGATCTTTGCACAGAGGTTCTGCTAAGCAAGTTTGAAATGCATAGCTGTACAACTTCTTATAAACCCAGCTACTGCAGTGACCTGCAACTGGATATTACTTTGGGACTAACCATTTACATGCTTTAAAAATTTATAGCAATTGCATAAGTCAAAGAAGTCCATTTGCAAGATCACCTTACAAATTTCCCTTTTTCCTCCTTTGTCCTACTTGCCCTGGGATTTTACACAAAACTGTATTGCCCTCTTTGCCAACTGTGGGCACTTCACTCCAAGAAAAGGACCAATAATTCCTGGAGCAGCGAGGCCCGTATTCCATAAGCAGCTCACACATGCGAGCCCTGCAGGGCTGGGAACTTCAGTGGCCCTGTTTGTAAGTGCTATTTCACAGAGACAGCCCTGTCCAAGCCTGATGAGCACAGCTGACCTGCATTTACCAGGCACTCAAACACATCTCAGTGGCTATCAGGGTGATAGAAGCTACAGAAGCATAGGAAAAACACAGCATCTTTAAGCTTTTGAGAGCAACAGAATGGAAAACTCAAGAAGTTGTCTTACAACGCTGTGTTTAGGAATTCTAATGCTTATTTTTGGTGTGCATTTTCAGAAGCAGGGTTGACTTGTGACATTATATTTTGACCTTATCTGGAGCCCACAGTTACACACAGAGGTTTATTTTGACAGAGACTATACGGGATATTAGGGCTCTGCATTATGCAGTGCTGCAGAGTGATGATACCCTTCATTCAGAAAAGCTGAATAAATACCAGATAGATTTTATCTTATAACTCTGCTTATTGTCCCAGGACTGCAATAACATATGCCCTTTCCCTTTGTAATATTTGTTCAGTGTACTTGAAAATGCATAGCAGATAATTTCAGGGGTGGTGGTATGACTTTTGCGTGGATAAGAGTTTCTGTATCAGTGTTTCACACTATCTGCCATCCCAGAAGGCTACTGTCACTTGACCGTGGAGCACAGCTAATGCTCAGATTTACTAAAACTCTCTCAGAAATAGAAGATGGGAAGAAGTGCATTCGAAGTGCAGTGAACAAAAAGTGCAGGAACTGTTGGTTCTGCACACCCATATTTGCAGGTGCAGGAACAGAGTTCAGCTGTGCCCGTGTAACTTGCTTACTACAAGACAAGGGAGAAACCTCCCTGTGTTAGTAAATTCTTACATGTTAAAGGTCAAATCATAAAAAAAAGAAGCTGTATTCTCACAGCTTTTTGTTTGTTTGTTTGTTTTTTTAAACATCTACTTTCTGGATACAGCCTGTCAGATTACAGCTCTTTTTTGAATGAAGAACTGAACTGATCCTTCAGGGCCTTCATGTGAAGGGAAATGAAAGAACACTTCAAACTACTTCCTTCTCCATCACTTCCGTGCCCTGCACTGATTATGGCTTTTCCTGCTTCACAGTGCTAATAAAGATGAGAGATTTCTAAACCACAGCTGGCAGGATACTGTACTCCATTGCATCAATCTTTTTCATACACGTCAATAATATTCTCTTGATGGGATGATCACACATCCTTATTAGATATGAGAAGCACTTCCTCTAGCAGCTAAACCGCTGCTTTGTGATCATTCAGGAAGGTGCATGAGGAATTCTCTTATTTCTCTACATTTGATAGGCGTGTGGTAAGCAGACAGCAAAATAAAAGAGAGACCACACAATATCCACTCCCCCACAAACTGTCCCTCAGATTCCTCCTGAACAGAAGAAGCGTGTGGCTCAGTGTGCCTAGCTCTAGGGAACAAAGGAGTCCATGTTTCAGCTTGCTGAAATAAGTTCAGTTTCATACCTGGAGCTAATAACTAATGCCTACCCCTTGACTTTTAGGACAACTGGAAAGAACAGAGCACAGCCCACTGAAATCCCAGGGACCTTCACATACAAAACATCTGACAGCAGAAGAATCAGGATCCCTTATTTTACGGTGCTCCAGTTTGTACCTGTTGCTTCCTGTTCTGACATTGGACGAGGGTTGAGGATCTTGCGTGCTTTGCCACATTGCTTTCTTTGCTGTTAATCTGAACTGTGTGTGTGTGTGTGTGTGTGTGTGTGTGTGTGTATAGACACACACACACTGTGAAATAGATAGATATATCTCAATCACATGCATATATGTATAGTCAGGCAAAATGTACTGTACTATACCCTAGTTATAGTATACCTCTGAATGATGTATTTATTCATAGCATTACGGCTATAATTTATGCATTAAACCAAGTTGTCTGGATTCACTAGCAACACCATATGCTGTGAAAAGTTAACTTTAGAACTGAATAGGGGGCATCCACATTTTGCCTGAATTAATTTGCCAAGTTAAGTGTAAATGAGCAATAGGAACATTTCCTACATCTAATATTGTAAGGAGAATTACAAATGCAAACTACCTGAAACGGCTGTTTGATATTCACAGTAATAGTATAATGCAATTCTTTTTATGTCTCTTAACTCAGTCCACTTCATAAAATGAATTAATTTCTGTTGTAGACACATCCACCATCTTCCATTGTATGCTGTGTAGTTATTGCTGGCTGAGTA